TGTTCAATATAGTTCTGGAAACATTAGCCATGGCAATTAGACAAGAGAAAGAAATGAAAGAAATAAGATAGGAAACAAACAAGTTAAAATTGACACCAAGAACTCCACCAAAAGTCTTCTAGACTTAACAACCAACTTCAGTACAGTAGGTGGATACAAGGTCAACACACAAAAATTAATAGCCTTCCTGTACACTAACAGCAGACTCACTGAGAGAGAAAATGGACAAATAACTCCTTTCACAATGGCATCCAAAAAATATAATGCCTAGGAATCAACCTAATGAAAGAAATCAAAGACCTCTACTCCAAAATCTACCACATTTTGAAAAAAGAGATTGAAGAGGATATCAGAAAATGGAAAGACATGCATTGCTCCTGGGTAGGAAGAGGTAATATAATGAATATGGCCAAACTTCTGAAACTTCTATATAGATTTGATGCAATCTCAATTGAAATTCCAACAGCATACTTCACAGAGTTTGAGAAAACAATCCAAAAAATTCATTTGGAACAAGAAGAGACCTAGAACAGCAAAAGCAATTCTAGACAACAGACAAGGTAGGAGGTATCACAAGCCCCAACTTGAAGCTATACTAAAAAGCTACTGTGATAAAAACAGCATTGTATTGGCAAAGAAACAGACCTGAGGATCAGTGGAACAGATTAGAAAATGTAAAAACAACTCCAGACATACTCAGCCACCTCAATTTTGACAAAGGAGCCAAACACCCTCACTGGAGGAAAGGTATCCTCTTTGATAAATGGTGCTGGAAAATTTTGGTTTCAATTTACCAAAGATTAAAACTAGATCTATATCACTCACTATGCACTAAACCAAAATAGAAATGGATTAGAGATCTAATTATTAAAATAGAAACACTAAACCAGCTGGAAGAGAAGTTAGCTAGAACTCTTGAAGACACTGGTGTAGGAAAAGATTTCATGAACAAAACCTCAGTTGCACATGAACTAGCACAAAGAATCAACAATAGTGATCTCGTTAAAATGCTTCTGTACAGCAAGTTAAACCACCAACAGAGTAAAAAGACAACCCACAATTTGAGAAAAAAATTTCACCAGCTATTCCTCAGACAAAGGTCCACTATCTAGAATATATAAAGAACTGTAAAAGATCAAAACTCCCAATTTAAAGATCCAATCTGAAAATGGGCATCTGAAATGAACAGACATTTCTCCGACAAAGTAGAAACAGAAAATAAACATATGAAAATATGTTCAACATCACTAGTCATTTGAGAGATGCAAATGAAAACAATACTGAGATTCCACCTCACTCCTGAAAGAATGGCTGCTATCAAGAAATCAACCAATAACAAAGCCTTCCGGGGTTGTGGGGAAAGCAAACCCTTCTCCACTGTTGTTGAGAGTGTAGACTGGTGCAACCACTGTGGAAATCAGTATGGAGATACCTCAAAGAACTAGGATTAGAGGGTCCCATTTGACCCAGCTCTTCCCCTGCTGGTTATCTTTCCCAAAGAATTAAAAGAATCATACCACAGTGATATATGTGCACTTATGTTCACAGTGGCACAGTTTTAATAGCTAAAACTCAGAAACAGCCCAATTTCCCACCAACTGGAGACTGGATAAAGATGTGTTTGTTTTTTTAAAAAAATAAAACGGAGTACTACTCAGCCATAAAGAATGAGAAACTAGAGACATTTATAACTAAATGGATGCACATTGAGGCCATACCCTTAAATGAAATAAATAGGACACATGTGTAAATACTGAATAGCTTCTCTGGGGTTAGAAACTGAAAGTGTAAATAAGGATCAAAACGTATAATAGATAATGTGAAATAGGACTGAAAGTTCCATAGGGAAAGGGGAAGTGGGAGGTGTAAGGGAAAGGAATAAATATGAGAAAAGGAAAATATGGAAACAAATTTTCTGTAAATAGGGAGGTGTTGAGGGGTTGAACGGAGGGCAGAAAAATGGGGAAAAAATAAGAACCAGGGTATGTCATGTAAAGGTACAAATTCCCAATGATGAATGTCATCATATTTTATACCTAAAATGTATCAATAAACAATGAAAAAACATATGGCCAAATTAATAAAAGTGGTATACAGATTCAATGCCATCTTCATAAAAACACCAACTGCTTCCTTTACAGAAGTAGAAAACAAATAATCCTAAAACTGATAGAAAAGCAAAACTGACCCAGAAAATCCAAAACAATCCTAAGTAAAAAGGCCAGTGCTGGAAGTATCAAAATAGCCAATCTCAAAACACACCACAACATTAGAGTAACAAAAATATCATAGTACTGGCATAAAAATACACATGTAGAAAAATGGAATAGTTTAGAATATCAATCCCCGACCTCTTTGACACTAGGGACTGGTTTCATGGAAGATAATTTTTCTATGGATCTGGGCACAAGACTTATTTTTAGTTTCCTTTTTTATTAGTATATATTTATGATACACAATAATTACATTCTCCAGTTAATGCTAACATCACCACCTGGGCTTCACTTCAGGTCATCAGTGGTTACATTCTCATAAGAAGTGCATAATTTAAAACCCTTGCCTGTTCAGTTCAGAGTAGGGTTCATATGGCTATGAGAAACATATGCCACTGCTAATCTGACAGGAGACTGGGCTGAGCCATAATGCCAGGCACCAGGGACTGGGAGCAGCTGTGAAGACAGATGAAATTTCACTCCCTCACCTGCTGCTGCCCTTCTGCTGTGTGGCTTGGCTCTTAACCGGCCACAGACCTCTCTGGGTCCATGACCACTGGAAGAGAGGACACAGAAACACATTTATTGCAACTACAGCTATCTGATTCTTTTTCACTGTTGTTCTTAATATATATTTGTCATACATATGATCATTACGAATGAGAATTTGTACCTGTACATAATATATCTCAATTCATTTTCCCCATTCCCTCCCCTTCCTCCAAACCTTCCTCCCTGCCCCGTTTACAAAAGCTTTGTTTAGTTTTTTCCTTCCATATTCTTTTTTTAAATCCATTTTTCCTTCATTCCCTTCCCCTTACCCTCCCTGGTTCCCCTTCCCATTTGAGCAAGTTTCTTCCTACTTCCCAATTATCTACCCTCCATTTTGCTCCTTATGTACCCTTTGGGTTTCTAAGTAAATAACACAGTACTAGTGAGAAAAAATAGAAACAAAAATATAACAAAAAAGTATTATAGTTAATTTCTCAGGGCAGAAGTTAATTCTTAGCCTCACAGAAAGGGCTTTATGATATCCAGAATATTTGAGGACAAAAGACACCAAGTTTGTGAATACAAACTTAAGTATTTCCATAGAGAAAAGAAGCAAACAATAAACATATGAATGAGAATAAGAGTGTCCTTAAATATCCAAAGAGATGTTTAAAAAGCATGAAGAAGACTTTAAAGTTTCAAGATATAGATATTTTTAAATTAAAATGGACAAAATTTTTTAAATGAATTTCATTTTTTATCACACAGCTCTCATCTAATTTGCTTCTCACTACTCTTTCTCAGGAAATTATAGGAACATGCTTTCTGCCAAAACAGTGAGCAAACCACAAAAGAGGAATGCACACATTCCAACTGATGCAAGATGAAATATTCTCAAGGCACAGCTATGCATTAGATCTAATAAAAACCGGTAAAAAAGAAAAGTTCTCCAGAATGTCGCCGAAGTGAAAAAGAGCAACTTCTGAAACATGTGGAAAAAGAGAAGCAATTAAAGAATTTGGACAAAACAAATATAATGCTATTATTAAATTCAGAAAGAACCAAATCTTATAAAATCAGGGTAATTTAATACTAGTTCATCATTTGGCACATTAGAGACGACAAAACACAATGCCTGTGTGCTGTAAAATTACAGAGGAAGGGGACAGGAGGCAAGTTGTAGATGAGGTTGTCCATTAGGTTGTTAATATAGAAAATAGAGAACACTCAAGAACCTTTGTGATTATATTCTTGAGATACAGAGTGAAACAATGAACAAACTATTCCCACACCTATAAACTTGGATGATTTTTAGAGACATAATCTTATACCTAATCAAGCAGACATAAAAAAAGCTCAAGGAAAGGTCAAACTAACCAATAGTGACAGTTGTCAGGGTAGCAAACACCGCTGTTACAGGCAATAGATGGGAGGAGGAGAGATTCAGAAACAGTCTTCTGAAGTATTGTTAATATTTGATTTCTTGATCTGTGTGGTATTTACACCTAAATATTGTCTTGTTAAAAATGTTCTTTGCACTTTTATGATATAATTTTTCCCTCTACTTTATGTACTTCTATAAAACCTTAAAAATAAATGGGTATGGAGTTATATTATTGGGAGGAACAAGTTTTTAAAAACTAGAACAGGATTCAAAGAGTATAGATTACGCAGGTGACTGGTTTATTAATTGTTTCAGTATTAGTCTTGAAACACAATTTGCAGTTATAAAATGTATAAATATTTGTATTTATAAGTATAAATGTATTATTTGTTAAAAATAAAAAGTTCAGTAGGGAAAGTATCACACTGCAGTTATATTTCCAAATGTACACTTTTAAGAATTTTTAAAAATAGCTCTACAATGATACATAAAATAAGAATAATACAGGAAAATAATATATATTGCATATGCTATATACATTTGAAAAAATGTATAAAGAAGTAGTAAGAAATATCAAGCATAAATTGATGATTTTTGCAACATCTTAAACTTTAAAAACTTAAAAAACACCTTTCCTCTAGTGTTTGATTTACTTAAAAATCTGAGGGAATTTTTATGAATAATATGACTAGTTGTTATGTGAGTGTACTAATGTTTGCATTATACTTCTAATGTGTTAGAAACTGATGTTCTTCTATAAAACTTTTTAAAGATTCTAATAGCCCTGTTATAAAATAATAATGAATAACATATACAGAAAAAGGTAGTAGTTATAAACTGTTTACTTACATTACTACTTATAAAATATAAGGTTAAGAATGATAATATAAAGAAAGATAAAAAATACATACCACTGCAACACCTGCATTGTACTTTTTATTGTATGTTATCCCTGGAAATGTTGCTCCCACATAGTGAGGGTGTTTCCTGTAACTACATCATTATATTAGTGACTTTTTACTAGTATGATTATTCAAAACATTTTATAAAATATATTAAATTAACATCCTTTTCCTAAAATTTGGAAATGATTTTGTAAACATATAAAGTTCCAATAAATCTGATAATATCTAATAAGTTATGTAAAATACTCATAATTGACTTTAATGTCAAATTTTCTTTCCTCACCTAACTCTTAATTTTGGTGTAATTTTTAACTCAAATTCAATTTAGTTCCTTTCATGATGCACTGTTTTGGCAAACTGAAAGTAAAAAATAATTTTTAATTTGTAAAAAAAGAGTCCTACTGCTCCTAAAATGCTTTTATGCAATATTAACTGAATACTGTAAAGTTTTACATCATTAATAAGCTAAGAATTGTATGTGTTCTGTAGTAAAATTAACATCCTAAAATTGCATGAAATACAATTTCACTTCAATTATAGTTTAAAATATACTGATATAAATTAGATGGCTATTGTCTTTATTATATTTCTAACTGCACTATCACCTCTGTGGCATCTCTGGATAGATCGATGATTAATAGATAGATAGATAGATAGATAGATAGATAGATAGATAGATAGATAGATTTTCAAAGGATCCTACAGAAAATTGGAGAACACAAAAAATGCACTGATGTACCAATTTAATGGGATTATTTATGGATATCTCTTACATAAGTAAGTATGTGCTTACATAAGTAAGTATGCTATGTCATGGGGCCTTCGAATAAGAGAGTTCTGTTTCCATGCCAAAAGTCTTTGTAATATATCATCAGCATCTCCATCAGTTGAAATTTGGTTTTTACCTGACCACAATTCCAAGGAGGACAATATAACAGTCAATTTAAGCTGGGTAAACATCTAAAAATAAGATTTATATTTTTCAAGTAATATCAACCATCACATTAAAATACTACATAAAATAAAGGAAAAGTTTGAGTATTAAACTAACAAAAGATCTTTAAGTCATTAATTTGCTATTATAAAATGTACAAACAATTTCCAATGATTTTTCATAGAACTAGAAAGATAAAAAGTAAAAACTTACAGTGTTGACAAGCCCAATAACCTGGACAATTTTCGGTGTTAAAGCCATCATTTCAGGTCCCATATATTCATACTGGAAAACAAATTCCAAAAGGACACACATGTGTAAATACCAAATAGTCTCTCTGGTGTGAGAAATTAAAAGTGTAAATAAGGATCAAAATGTATAATTGATAAGGTGAAATAGGAAGAAAAGGTCTAAAGGGGCAGGGGAAGTGGAGGGGTAAGGGAAAGGAAAGAAGGGAAAGGAAAGAATGGAAACAAAGTTTCTGTAAATAGGGAGGAGTGGAGGGTTTGAAGGGAGGGCAGGGGAATGGGGAAAAAGTAAGAACCAAGATACATCATGTAAGGGTACAACTTCCCAGTGATGAACATAAATAAATTGTATGCCTAAAATGGACCAATAAACTTAATGAAAAAACATACAAAGAAGAGCAATTTTTTAGATGATGTGTATATCTTGATAATACCAAGTAAGAAAAGCATAGAGTTTGTAAAACAATATAAAAATATACTAACATAAAGATAGCTTTCATAGTAAATAAAAAAGAAAACACTGTACATGAGCATTTAAAACAAATTCTTACTATACACATTAAAGATATTCTCAAGAAATTCTCAAGAGGTACAAAAATAATTTTATAGATAATTCTCTCCATAAAAAGAAACTTCTTTAGCTAGAAATTTTTGGTGAAACAGTGGGATACAAGGTATCTCTGACTGCATGCTTGGTAAAGAAAGATGGACAAATAAATAGAAAAATTAATTAAAATTCAAAAATACGTTTATAGGAGGAAGATAGAAATTTCCACAATGCATGGTGAGAATGGTGTGCAACAAATGGTTTGAGAAAGAATAAAATGAGATAATGGACATGAAAAACCAAATAAGCAGTAATACAATTGTAGTGGGGGACCTTAATACCCCACCATCAAAAATACACAGATCATCCAGACAAAAAATTAACAGTGAAATTCTAGAACTGAACCAAGCTATTGAACAAAAGGACTTAATAGACGTTTACAGAGTGTTCCAACCCACAAAATCAGAATACACATTCTTTTCAGCTGCACTCAGGTCATTCTCCAAAACAGACCACATGCTAGCTCATAGGGCATGTCTAAGTAAATGTAAAAGAATTGAAGTTACCCCTTGTATATTATCAGACCATAGTGCAATAAAATTGGAGATCAATAACATAAGAAACTGCAAAACCCCAACAAACACATGGAAACTGAATAACACCCTCTTGAACAACCAGTGGGTCACAAAAGTAATTAAAGAAGAAATTAGACAGTTTCTACAAGTAAATGATAATGCCAGTACAACATACAGGAATCTATGAGACACAATGAAAGCAGTTCTACGTGGGAAATTCATAACAGTGAATGCTCGTATTAGGGAAACAGAGAGAACTCAAATAAATAACCTACTGCAGAACCTCAAGCTCCCAGAAAAAGAAGAGCATAACAAACCCAAAGCTCATATGAGAGGAAATTATAAAGATCAGAGCAGAAATCAATGCCATGGAGACTAAGAGAATGATACAAAAAATCAATGAATCAAAGAGTTGGTTTTTTGAAAGAATAAAAGAAAATCAATAAACCCTTAGCCAACCTTATCAAGAAAAGGCTCAAATCCATGCAATTAAGAATGAAAAAGGTGAAGTCAGAGGAGATCCAGCAGAAATCCAGAGCATCATCAAATACCTATTTCGAGAACCTGTAATCTAATAAAATGAAAAACACAGAAGAAATGGACAGATTCCTAGATACATACGAATTACCAAAATTAAATGAAGAAGATATAGAGATCCTAAACACACCAATTATAATGAGTGAAATTGAAAATGTAATAAAAAAAAATTTGAGAAAAAAGAAAAGCCCAGGTCCTGATAGCTTGACTGCTGAATTCTACAAGACATTTAAAGAAGAACTATTGCCATTACTCTTTAAACTCATCAA